TGCTGAGGCTGTAAAGGACCCCTCAAAGCAGCGGGTCCAGCGCTGACCCACGGCGGCCAGGGCCACCGAGCCACGTCCCCAGGCAGCACACTGCTCGGGGTTGGGGCCACAGGAGCTCAGTCCCGCGGGGTGCTGGGGGGCAGGGCTGACCCCCCGTGTCCCCTGTCCCCAGGTGCTGTCCCTGGGTGCCGATGTGCTCCCCGAGTACAAGCTGCAGGCGCCGCGCATCCACCGCTGGACCATCCTGCACTACAGCCCCTTCAAGGCCGTGTGGGACTGGCTGATCCTGCTGCTGGTCATCTACACGGCCATCTTCACGCCCTACTCGGCCGCCTTCCTGCTCAGTGACTCCGAGGAGGCCCAGCGCCACCACTGCGGCTACTCCTGCAGCCCCCTCAACGTGGTGGACCTCATCGTGGACATCATGTTCATCATCGACATCCTCATCAACTTCCGCACCACCTACGTCAACTCCAACGAGGAGGTGGTGAGCCACCCCGCCAAGATCGCCATCCACTACTTCAAGGGCTGGTTCCTCATCGACATGGTGGCCGCCATCCCCTTCGACCTGCTCATCTTCGGCTCTGGCTCCGAGGAGGTGACGTGGGGGTGCAGACGGGGCTGCTTTGGTGCTGGGGGTTGTGTTTGGGGGTCCCAGCCGTGCCCCCGGTGCTGGGGTGCTGGGAGCTGTTCCCTGGGAGCCGGTTCCTCCCGTGGGGAGTGTCTGGGGGTCCCACAGCACCCCCGGGCTAGGACAGCACCGGTGACCCCCCTGAACCTCCTTCCCAGACCCCCTCTGCTCTGGGTGGGACACCGGGGGCACCTGGGGCTGGCACGGGGAGCGGGGACAGGGGCTCGTGGCACCTTGTGCCCTACCAGGGACCTGTGGGAGTTCTCTGGCCCAGTGACCCCCCCTTTCCTCCCTGCCCAGACACCTCCGCCCTGGGGGGCAGCCGGGGCAGGGGGAGACCCCCGGGATGGAGGTGCCTGCCTTGGGGCAGGGACCCCCCGCCCCTCCGGGGTTCTGAGGGTGTCTCCTCACCGCCGAGCCCCCTTTCCCCCGTGCCCCTGACCGCAACGCTCATCGGGCTGCTGTGGGGAGAGGGGACAGACCCCCCTCACCCTCCCGGGGGTCCTGGGGGTCCCTCCACCCCCCGTAACCCTTTGGGTGCCTTCCTGCAGACCACGACGCTGATCGGGCTGCTGAAGACGGCGCGGCTGCTGCGGCTGGTGCGCGTGGCGCGGAAGCTGGACCGCTACTCGGAGTACGGCGCGGCCGTGCTGTTCCTGCTCATGTGCACCTTCGCACTCATCGCCCACTGGCTGGCCTGCATCTGGTACGCCATCGGCAACGTGGAGGGGCAGCGCACGGGCTGGCTGCACGCGCTGGGCCAGCAGATCGGCAAACCCATCAACGGCACCTCGGGGCCCTCCATCAAGGACAAGTACGTCACCGCGCTCTACTTCACCTTCAGCAGCCTCACCAGCGTCGGCTTCGGCAACGTGTCCCCCAACACCAACTCCGAGAAGATCTTCTCCATCTGCGTCATGTTGATCGGATGTGAGTGCCCGTGGGTGTGAGAGCCCCTGAGGGGGTGTGCGGAGCGGTGTGGGTGTGCCCACACCTGTGGGTGTACCTGCTCACACCCATGGGTGTATCTGTGCACACCTGTGGGTGTGCCCACACCTGTGTGTGTATCTGTGCACACCCGTGGGTGTACCTGTGCACACCTGTGGGTGTACCTGTGCACACCTGTGTGTGTATCTGTGCACACCTGTGGGTGTATCTGTGCACACCTGTGGGTGTGCCCGCACACCTGTGTGTGTATCTGTGCACACCTGTGGGTGTACCTGCACACCCGTGGGTGTACCTGTGCACACTTGTGTGTGTATCTGTGCACACCTGTGGGTGTACCTGCACACCCGTGTGCACATCCAGGTGTGCCCGAGAGCCCGGGGGGCCTTGGGCAGCCTCGTCAGCACCCCCAAGGTGGGTGTGAGAGCACCTGGGTGTGAGTGCACCTGGGTGTGAGTGCACCTGGGAGTGAGAGCACCTGGGTGTGAGTGCACCTGGGTGTGAGTGCACCTGGGTGTGAGTGCCTGTGGGTGTGAGTGCCCCTGGGTGTGAGTGCCCCTGGGTGTGAGTGCACCTGGGTGTGAGTGCACCTGGGTGTGAGAGCACCTGGGTGTGAGTGCCCGTGGGTGTGAGAGCACCTGGGTGTGAGTGCCCCTGGGTGTGAGTGCCCGTGGGTGTGAGTGCCCCTGGGTGTGAGAGCACCTGGGTGTGAGTGCACCTGGGTGTGAGTGCCCGTGGGTGTGAGTGCACCTGGGTGTGAGTGCACCTGGGTGTGAGTGCACCCGGGTGTGAGTGCACCTGGGTGTGAGTGCACCTGGGTGTGAGTGCCCGTGGGTGTGAGTGCCCGTGGGTGTGAG